CCCCTCTCTCTGCTCTTTCCTCTCCCTAGGCCTCCCATGGTCCTTTCCTTCCCCCTCCCTCATGCCTTCTCTGGTCCTTTCTCCCCCTACCCCCGTGTGTGTCCCCCACCCTCAGAGGCTCCCATGGGCCTTTCCTGCCCCCCTGGGCCTTTCCTCTCCCCAAGTCTTCCCCAACCCTTTCCTCTCCCCATGTTTCTCCCCCACCCCTGTGCCTCCCCCCCTCATGTTTCCCTTTCACCTCTGCCTCCCCCAGCCCTTTACTTCCTTCCTCCGTGTCTCCCCCACTCCTTCAGCTCCCTCCTTCCTTTCCTGCCCATATCTGTGTCTCCTCCCACCCTGCTCCCAATGTTGTTTCTCTTCTCCCCCTCCCCCATTGTCCAGTTTTCTTTCCTGACAATAGGGCCCATTTTTTAAAAAATGCCCCTCATATTCCTTTCCATCACCATCTTCCTGACCCCAACCCATCACCCCATGTCCTAGGTACAGCTCCCCCCTGGCCTTCATCTTCCCCAGAAGCCTGTTACTGACACTCTCAAAAGTAACCCCCAGCCATCCTCTTCATCCTTCTAAGGGGCCCTTGGTAGTGGTACTGCTTACGGTGGCTGATTAGCTTCCATTGCCCCTGTTCTTACACTGAGGGGGTGGGGTGAAGCATCAGCTTCTGGCCTGAAACTCTCCCTGCCTGGTTGCTGCTGCAAGGGGTGTGTGTGTGTGTGCGTGTGCGCGCGTGTGCGCGCATGTGCCTGTGTGCGTGTGCGCCTCCCTCTCTCTGTGGGTTAGTGCTCGTGGTGACTGCTTTGCTGGGGCAGCTTCGGCATCGGTGTAGCTTGTGCTAAGTGTGTGAATGGTCACTAGCCAAACATGGCATGCTGCTCTTCACCATGCACGTTGCCAAATGCACATGGAGAGGTGTACCTGCCAGCGACTTGGAGGCCTGGCTGGAGGCCAGCGGGGTGCTGATGGGCTCAGTCAAAGAAGGCTGCCTAAAGGAGGTGGCTTATCAAATGCTTTCAGATCATGCAATTTGCAGGATGTGTGGCTGCAATATTACCAGCCCCCTCTCCCCCTAGCTCATCTTCTCTGGGCATTGTTGGGGAAGGTGGGTAGAGACTGGATGGGCTAGGGCAGCAGTTCCCAAACATGTTCCCGGCCGGAGCCCCTCTTCACACGTATTGCTTCCCACAGCCCCAGACAACACGGAGATACCACTTAAAAATGGCAGCCTCCATGCAGCATGACCTCCCATGCACTGTACCTGTAAGGTCATGCTGCACAGAGGAGGCCATTTTGAAGAACAAAGTCTCATTCTCCATGTGCCGTGACCTTGCCCGCATGGTGAGCATGCTTGGCCATGCTGTGCAGAGGAGGCCAGTTTGTAAAATGGTGTCCTCCACACCCTTGGGATTGCCACAATGCCACCTGCTGATGCAATGACCTCACTTGGGGGTGTGACCCATAGACTATGGGAAGAAGTGGCTGGGCCGAGGGAGGGGAGACACACCGCCTCTCCCCTGGTCTCCAAGATCCCATCTGTGGGCTATTATAACCAGACGTGGCTGCTCCAAAATGTGTCTGTCCTCTGAGGACAACACACCGAGGCAGGTGAATATGCAATGTGCATTCCCTGATGGAAAGATGGTGTGCCTTTGGGAGAAGGGAATATATCCTAGGCTCTCTGGTACCCAGGGGCCAGGGGTAGCTTCATTGAACCCCAGTATGAAACCTGAGGGTCCAGGCTTTTATCCCAGATGGTCCAGGCTTTTATAGTGAGGGGGCATCCAGAGCCTACAGGGCTGGGTTACAAAGCCCTAGGCATAACAGCATGGAAAGCCAGGCTGAGATACTTACATGTGTGTAACTCTGTGAGGACAGAGGGAGTCTAGGCGATTGAGGTATAAGATATGGGATGGACTCCAGCAGGGAGAGATTTCCTCAAGGGCAAAAAGCACTCTTCTGGCAGAATGCCAAGGCTCTGGGCCCTAATTAAGTTCCCATGTAAGCCTTTGGCATGAGGTTTAAGTGACTCCTTAGGCCCCGGAGATGGGGTGAGTCCTGTGCTCTGGGTTGAATTTGACCCTTAAGGAACTCTGATACAAGCAGATCAAATCTGGGGGTGTGGTGGACAGCAGGATGTGGGCAGGGGAGAGTGCAAGGAATGGGCTAACAGACAAGAGCTGGGAAGAGAGCAGCAAATAATTCACCCACCCATAATTTAGCACTTGTGTTGTGTGATAAGAAAACCTAACACACATGGTGTTTCTGCTCCCTGCTAGGGTGGATGAAAGGGCCATGAGCAGGAGAAAGTGAAGCCAAGTGATTCCAAGGTGATGGCAGAGGCGTTTCCTGTGTGAAGAGAACCACATAGGGTGCATCTACACAGCGGGGCTTACCTCGAAATAAGGTATGCAAATTGAGCTGCTTCAATTGTGTCTCTGATTTTGAAATGGGGAGTGTCTATTCAGCACTTATTTCGAAATAGAGCACTCTTCCTCTGACATCCCTTTCTCCTTGTACAATGAGGGTTTCAGGTGTTGGAGTAAGAAGTCCTCCAGCTTGACAGTATTTCAACATTATTTCAAAATAACACTTGTAGATGTACCCATAGAGTTTAAAGGCAGAAGGAGGCCACCAGATCATCTAGTTTGAACACTGGACACTAATCACCCCCCTGTCACCCCTACACCTAGCCCAACTACCACAATTAGACCATCACATGAGGTTTAAATAATGACAGGCCTTTATCTCTGCAAACTCCCTCTTCCCTTGTCATTAACTGTAGGTGTCACATTCAGGAAAGTCCTCTGTTCACATGTCCATGTTGGAGTTTCTCCTGGATGAAGGAGTATTCCGAGGGCTTTCTCTTTCCCAGGGGCTCACGGCTCTTCCATGCTATGCAAAGGATCTATACATGCAGCACAACTATAGGCAAAGAAGCAGAGCTAGAGTAAATCAAGGGTGAAGCTGATCTGCATTCAGACAGCTGAGTGCACAGGACAATTGAGAGTACAGGACCTTGCCTTTGTCCTAAAGGCATGATTTAGAGTGACGCTCTTGGAACTGAGGGTAGCGCTGAGGCCTGCATTTATATCATTTACCTTTCTATAGCAGGTAAGATGCATCTTGGGCAGGCCAACCTACAGAGTCCGTCTAATTGGTGAGGGGCACTGAATACAAGGCTCAAACAGCCTCAAGTGGATTGGCTGATGCTGCAGTCTTCAGAGCCCTTTGCACACTTCTTGGTCTCCTATCACTGGCTATAGTCATTATATTCACGACCTTCTGTTTGCTGATGACTGTGCATTGCTGGCTCATTCAGTGAAGGCTGCACAGGAGCTTTTTGATCACTTTGTTACTTCTGCTCACCATTTTGGATGCACAGTGAGCCTCAAGAAGACAGAAGTTATGCCTCAGCCTGTCTGGAAAGAGCCCGGCACTCCAGTGAACACTGCTGCTGGTACAGTCCTTAAGGCTGTTGACAAGTTCTGCTACTGGGAAGTGTACTGTTCTCTAGAATAAACTTGGATCATAATGTATCTACTTGACTAGCCAAAGCCAACACGGCCTTTGGAAAATTGACCAAACATCTATGGAATGACCATGGTGTCAAACGCCATACCAAGATAGTGCTTTATCAGGCAGATGTCCTGCTGTATGTCTCAGAGTCATGGACAATATATCAGCACCATGGTTTGAAGCTCGATCAGTTCTATATGTGTTGTTTGAGGAAGATTGCCCATGTGAACTGGTGGGACAAAATTCTTAATACAGGGGTTCTTAAACTGTGTGGTGTGATAGGCATGAAAGCAATGCTTATGAACAAACAGTTTCACTGGACTGGTCATGTTATGAAGATAGATGATACATCGATACCAAAGATTGTCTTTTACGGCCAGCTTGTTCATGGAAAGCAATCTATTGGTGGTCAGTATAAGCACTATAAAGACATCTTAAAGGCCAATATGAAGTCATGAGGCGTATCTCCCAATGATCTGGAAACTCTAGTTCAGGACAGATTGTCCTGGTGACAAATCAGTGTACAGGCTCTTAATTGCTTTGAGAGTCAGCGTATCCAGGCATTGCAGTAAAAGTGTAGGATCCTAAAAGAACATACCACGCCTACAGTTGGCGGCTTTTTATGTGATATCTGTAATTGACTCTGCCGATCAAGGATTGGTTTAGTCGCTCACCAACAGCGTCAGAAGATGAGATCTGTCGATCGATGGCTCAATCCAAGAATAGTCATTATACCATTGGGAAGATTTTCTGATTTCTTTCCATCGCTTGCCAAAGTCCCAGCTAAACAGACAGGACGGCCCTGACCGTTGCAATGCCAACATGCTGACTTGGAAGGGAAATGGTGCCTGCACTGGTAACAAGAGGCATCCAGAGGATGGGATAAACTTAGGTGTATTTTTGAACCACCCCAGAGCACTTTTCCATCCTCTTTTCACCACACCAGTGTGTAAGCCAGTCACAACTGGCACAACACATTTCTGTTTGCTTTTCTGAGTCAACGTGCAAGGAGCAGGCACGGGGCTGTGTGTGTGACTCTGGTTGTGTGTTTTTGCACAGGTTGGGTGTCTATGTAGCCAATCTTTGTAAAGTGCCTTGGGCTCTTGGGGCGATGGGTGCTTTGGCTGAATGGATCAATTAGGAATTATTGTTGCACTGGTAATCAGGATTTCATTCTTCTGTGTTTGTTTATATTACAGTGATACAGTCAGGATCAGGGCCCTACCAACCCAGGGGAGGCTGCGGTCTCTCCCATGAAGAATTTACAATGTAACTGAAGCTCAGCCACAGGAAAAGTGCGACAAGCAGGATGGAGGCCAGGCATCAGTGATAAGATCGCATGGGCACATGTTATTGTTACAGCAGCTCTGAACTGGCTGAATAAGCCTCACGTGGGCGTTCACAATGCTGCAGGAGCCCCTGAAAAAGTAGGCAGCAGTCCGTTGCCCATGCTGAGATATGTCCTGCTTTCCGAGCCCACAAGGGCTAATGCAGCAGCACATGTACATCTACATAGGGACACGGTGGCACATGCAGCCCTATGCAAGCCCCTGCATGGGCACACAGACATGCACGGAGGCTCATCAGTTCATACACATGTGTGGGGCTGTGTTCCTTACCAGCTGGGTGCTCCTGTGGCCACTCAGGAGAGATTCAATTGCTGCCCAGCTAGTCAGCAGAGTGCCCACAGCAATTTTTGTTTATGCTTGTGGTGCACATCCGCACATGCCTCAGTGCACATAACATTTATTCTGCACGTGGATGGAAAAAAATCTGCACATGTATGAAAAAGATTAGAGGGAACATTGGGGTGGGGCAGGAGCAGCTGGTGGGCGTGGGGCTAGTTTGTGGGGATAAGAGGAGAGAGTGAGAGTTATAGAACTAAGGACCAGCCAGTTGGCTAATGAGGGGTCCCATCCCTATAGGAAGAGACCAGATCAGACCAATGGTCCATCTCATCCAATATCTGCTCTCTGGCAGTGCTTAGCCCCAGATGCTTTGGAGGAAGGTCTGAAAAAGCTAGGGCTTAGTTATGCTCTAGCCTGCCCATAGGCTGTCCTCCCATCACTCTGTCTTGTTTATATCCCCACACAGGAGGGTGGATATCACTTTTTAAAAAAACATCCTGGCAAAGGGTCTCATTTTCTATTAAAAGGTCTGAGCCACTTTTGCCTGGTACTAAGCTCTTGGCCTCAATGAGACCCAATGGCGGTGTGTTCCACAGGTTAATCTGTAATGAAGTATTTCCTTTAGGTAGCTTTACATTGGTTACCTTTCTGTTTCATTGACCCTCTTGCCCAGCTATTAGGAGCGGAGATGAGCAGGAGAGCTTGACTTAACTTCCTTCTCCCGGGTCTCTGCCATGTCCCCCTCATATCCAGGTCTCGAAATGAAACAGTTCCAATATTTTTCAACCTCTCCTCTTACAGAAGCTTTCGTAGGCCTCTAATCATTCTGTTTCCTGTCTCAGCACCCCATCTATATGACTGGAAGAGTAATTCAGAGGCGGATGACAATAGCACTATAGTATTTTACATACTTGCTATCCCAGTCCCACTGCACTCTAGCATGGTGCTTGCTTTCTCTGCGTGCCCCTGAGGCTACTGAAAGGTCAGACTCTCTTAGCTGGGGTCTCCTCTCTGCATAGAAAGACACCTGTGGGTGGGGAATTTCTATCATGTTTTCTCCCTCATCATGAGCCCCCTTCCCGTTTTACGCATAATTTAAAAAATAAAAATAAGAAAAGCCAGTGTTTTAAAAGCATGTTAGCAGTTGCATCTGGGCCCTGCCTTGCGAGCTGGCTGCCTGGGAATGACGCTAACAGCACAAAGCCTTGGGACAAAGGGCTGTTTTTTCCCCCTCGTAAATGGATAATAACAGGTTGTCTTTGGGAAATCTTTTGTGCTGCGTCAACCACTGGAACCACAATTGCCACGAAGTAATGAATGAGGCATCATGCAGCGGATGGGGGCTTTCTGATGACATCAAGAAAACTCTTGAATTCGGCTTCCATGGTTATCATGACATCAGAACTTGCTGGATCTGTGGCCTTATATGGCAGCTCCAAGCACAGGAACAATCTGTG